AGGGCACCCCCCCCCCCCCAGCCCCCGTGCCCTCCCAGGATATATGCAGAGGCAGGAGCTGTCCCCCCCATGCCCCCTGGACAAGCTGTGACTCCATCCCACACCCTGCCCTACCCCAACTGGGCAGCATCTGTCCCAGCCCCTGCCCCACCGCAAGGGGCATTGATCTGCACCCCCATGCCCTGTCCCTCCCCCCTCCCCTTCCACCACAACACACTTACCAGCTGCATGCAGCTGTATCAGAAATCGGATCGGTATCAGCCAATATGCCTGCTTAAAAATTGGCTATCGGTATCAGCCCCCAAAATCTCTAATCAGTGTACCCCTACCATTAGCCCCCCAATTTCTTTGCTGAACCCCTAATTATCTAACAGGGAACTCCAGGTTCCATGAAACAGTTTGAAACATGGTGACCTAGGGAAATTTAAGAGAACTCCATTGCAATATCTAGTCACTGACATTAACAGAAACAAGGGAGTCAACCAATTATAAAACCCAAAGTTTGAGTTTATCAAGAGGATTGGACACAGAGTTAACATTCCTACTATCCTATCCTAAGTAATTATAAATACTTCTTTCCTAGTACCCTCTATGGCCTGCATGATCAACAACTAGTTTATCAGTCTTTTACCATAGTTTAAATGTGTATATTTTCAAGTAGAAAATATTTTAATAGGATTATTTAAGGGGCAGGAAAATAACCAAAACAAAACAAGAAACCAAATGATATATGTGGTTGGCAGGAACTCTTCTGCTTACTCTTCTATTTACAGTCTGTAATTGTATTTTATTAGCAGAGCCAATCTGGGGCAGATATTTTGCCAGGCAGTTATTGATCCCTGCTGTTCCACAGCCTGTCACCACACCTGGTTTGAAAATACCAGGAAATATTTTTTTTAAGTGTGGATATATAGATATCTATCTATCTCTATCTATCTATGCCAAAATTAAAAAAAAATAACAAGCTAGATCCTATTACTAGAGGGCATGTCACCCCATTGCCTGTAGACAGTAAATGGCCTAATTAAAGCTAGCATGGTGATATATAGCTACTGAGCATAGCTGACATCATATTAGAAGAGGGAAAAAACCCAAACACCACAGTATTTCTCATCCCAGACTATTTTTTCATTGAAATGCCTGGCTTAAATAGTTGGATGTATCTGAGTTGCATTCACAGACCCAACCATTACTTTTACAGATATTTAAAACCCGCCCCCAAAAAAAACTTCTCTCCAAACCACTTGGTTCTTCCTTGCATCACAGAGAGAGAACAACTTAATGCCTTTCAATATTCTTTAGTCACAGAATTTTCTTTTACAAAATTAAAGAAATTGCACATGAGAACTGACTAAGAGTGAAAGATAAAAATTCAAAAGAAAAAAGTGTTGATATCCAAGTATTCCTAGACAGGATATATGCCACACATTTTCCCATCAGTTTGTTCCCATCAGGCAAAGTCACTTCAGATTCATAAAAAGAATAGGATAAATTTGATTCAACTAACGTGTTTATCTCACACACACACGCACCCCTCCTCCACCCACCCACCCAGCCCTGAGAGTTTCCCAAACGTAGCATCATAATACTGTACAGATGCCCTATTTTTCCTTTTGGGAGTTACACTACACTGACACCGTACAAAAATAACCTCCCCTTTCAAAGGATTTTTGTTGATTTCCCCAAATGTGGGGCTACACTTTGCCTACTTTCTCATCTACTTCTGAGCTTAAGAGAATCCTGCAGGAAATGATCCTCTTAACCCCCCCTTGCCAAGCCCCCGGACAGCTGACGCTTCATACCTGTTCTGCTGGGATTCTGTGTAAGATTCTCCGTAACTGACGTCTCCCATGGTTTTCCACACACTTATGACCAATGCTGATTGGCAGGTGTGGCTAAAAATGGTCACAAACAAACAAAAAAACCCAGAACCTTATAATGCATGCATCTTGGAACTACTAGGCAAGGGCACAAGCATGCTATTTTGAGAGAAAGGCAACATAATAAAATATTCAGTCTTGATTTGAAACCAAGACTCTTAAGACTGAAGAAAAGTCCATAGATTCTCACCAACTATGGAGGCACTGAACAAAATGGTAGGAGGCATAATCAATTTTAAAATTAATTATCTAATTAAAAAAGAACTAACCCTTTTCCCCAGCACCAACTACAGGCTTCCCCCATCCCCCTCAACTTCTTATACACATTAATACTAAAATTTTAAAGATACACATCCTTCTCAGAAATAAAGATTTCTTACCTTCCACTTCTTCTTCATCACATACATGCTTAAGAAAGGAAGCCCCTCTGTCCAGCACTGCCTCATCCTCCATCCTATAGTAATAGAAAAGAAAAAACGAATGCTCAGACTTCTCCTGGAGTGAGCTATTTGAACAAGTCCAACTTCTGGGCAGGCTAACTTGCAGATTGTTGCTCATGTTACTGTGGGTGCTGTTGCTCTTCCTCGAGTGTCTACAGTTCCTTCATGCAGCTTCTTCTCAATGGCGTTCAGTATTAAGCTGGCCCTACGTAGCTCAAATGTTAACCTTGAGAGGGCAGAGATGTGACAGGTGAGAGAAAGGTAATCCCAGCTAGCAGTCTTTTCTTTTTTAAAGAAAGGAGACAAACAGGCACTCATATATATATGAGAGTTTAGAGTCTCTATGCAGTAGCTGATAACTAGTAGAAATCCAGCTTCCCTTAAAGCTCTTCTAAACCACGTTGTTGGCAAAACCACCTATAGAAGCAGGCACACACACTGTACACAGACAGACATACACACACATTCTAATGCACAGTGAGAGACTAGGCTTCCAGCAGCCTCTTAATACCAGCAAAGCACACTTCTCTGAGAGGCAAGCTTTGTGTCACATGTTGGCCTTACAGAAATCTGACATCTGAGGATTATCCAGAGACCAAGCTATAGCAAGTCAGGCCATTAGAGCATTTGTTTGTTTTACTCACCAGTTCATGGATTGATTTTCTTTGGGGGTTCCCCTTCCCATCTTCCCACAACCTCACCTCCCCCATATGTTCCCTGTAGCAGACAAAGTTCCTAGTTTTATAACTCTGCTCTACCATAAAATCCTCCCAGGGCATCGCCCATAATTGGCATTACAAAAATGTTCACCCACCAAATAATTATGAATCGACTGCCCAGAGGAGTTTTCCATCTACTGACACCTCTGTGAAATCCTATGAAATATGGACTTTCATTTCTACCCAGGAGAACTTTTACAATCTTTTCTCCGATGCCTGATGAAGGGTGTTTGTGCCCAAAAGCTTTCAATTAAAGACATTTTTTTGCAAAAATCTTGTTGATCTAATAAAAGATATCTCTACTACGAGTCTCGATTGCCACCCACCAACTAAGACCTTTGAAACTTTCTGAGTGAGAGCAAGCATTTGTGAGCGAGGGCATTTTTGGCTAGCAAATATCATGAGTGATAGTCAAAATTAAAGGAAACCTGCAATTTACTATTCTAAATAAATCATATCCAACATAGAAGCTAAGAAAATATTTGGCAACCATTACCAGACAGTTATCATATACATTTTCTATCTTAGTACAGAGAAACCATTCATGCCATCTACACATAAGAGTTGATGCTACCTACTGTAAATAATCCTATTAAAGTCAATGAAGCCATTCAAGACCATGTAAAGTTAACTATGCACGTAATTCTGCAAAATGGGTTACAAATGAAACTGAGTTTTTCAGCCAATTGCAAGAGAGACAGGTGTTTATGGCAAATCAAACAGCAAACCCTTTCCTCCTTTCCCTCCTAGGAAAATGGAGAGGCAACCCAGTGTGCGAGAGCCCATACAAACACTCTTGCATATTATAACATTTTCTAGCTGTGAACTATCTGTCCACAAAAAGATGCTCCAGGAACAAAAATTAAATCAAATCTAGATCTTCAAAGATGCAACAATGCTGTCTAATACACAGTTATGTTCAAAAGATACTCAGCAGACAAATATTTGCATTGTACTTTGTTCACTAGGGGCCTGTAGAAGGGCTGTTTTGCTATAGGTTGTCAAGCTCTGAGAAGAGAGCATTCATAACATTTTACATGCCCATGAAGCTTCAGAGACATATTCAAACCATATGAATTTACAACTTACATTTTACTCCCTTTCCTACTGTTATTCACATTATTCTAATCCTTATTAGATTTCCAACAGAAAAAACTCAGTTCACGTAGACAACTGCCAAACATTTCATATAAGAAGTGCAGAATGAAAGAAATCAGATTGAAAGGCAGTTAGCAAGTATCTACTGTGCACGTGCAGCTTCTGGATTATGAGACAGCAATTACCACAGCATCAAATATATTAATCCTAGAGATGAGACCACAGCCAGAAACCTAGCCCAGATCCTAGCACCCACGGAGCTTGGGAAAATTTAGATCTAATTCTGAACTTTGCAGAGCATCCCACAGCCATTAACCGAAACAGACTGTAGCTACCCTGATGCCTATTTTGGAGAATGAATTCCAGTAGCTTTCAAATCTATGTACTTTGTACTAGTTTACATGCTGTTGCTTCCCTCCACAATGAAACAAGATGCACCATTCTTTGCAAACTAACATTATCAACTGAAAAACATCACAAAACACATGCCTTCCCCAAAAGTCCCCAGTCTTCATTAAATAATTCAACACTATGCATCTCTTGTTATGCACACAAAACAAACAAATTCCATGGCTACTCTTGCCTGTGTGTAATAGTTGTGCATATATACACTTTTTTTTTTTAAAGCAGAATAGTACCTACTTGCCATAAATACTGCTAAAACATCTGGAACAGATGGCACAGAATTTCCAGACTAAATAGAAATCTTATATGTACTTTTCTTTTGATTACTCCACGAAGCATTTCCATTCAGTTTTCATCACAAATCACTCTGCAATTTGTCAGTCAGGGAAAGGTCCTCTACTAAAACAGTTCTCTCTCTCATATGGTGTCAGATATCAACTTCCAGATCTATGAGCCACTGTCTGGCATTATCGCTCAGTGTGTGGATTCCATCTGCCCCGTCTGGGCATTTGTAAAGACTGCACCTTTTGATTAAGTGCTGTGCTGTTTGTTGGACACCACATTCACACAGGGGGCTGTCCAAGATGTTCATCTTGTAAAGTGTTGTTTTGAAGCATCCATATCCAAATCTCAGTCTGTTCAGCTTGACTCATGCTACTGTCAAGGTCATGCTCAAGGGGGAGGAAGGATGGTTGGGACTTGTTTGGCGTTGGTATAAAACGGGGCACAGCTACATGTGTACTTTCCTGCACAGTAGACTGATTTCCTGCATAGTAAAGTGTCACCATGTACATGTGTGCAGCAATTATACCGGTATAGACTAATTTACTGTGCCGTCGGACAGGCCCATCAGATACACATACTATCTAATGGCTAAGTTAATTACTTCACTTAAACGTGCATGTAGACAGCGAAGTCTGGATTAGTTTACTCCAGCTTAAATTGCGCTGGAGTTTTCAGTCACATTAACTGCACACGTAAATGTGCTTACACTGTAGGAATGGGTCTGACCCCTCTGTGGTTGGCCCCCTCCATTGCTGGCCATAGGTTTGGTTTAGGATCCCCAATCTCTTGCAGGAACTTGTGGCCTTCATACACAAATGGTTTACGAATTTTATTCTCTTAAGTCTCCATTTATTTGGGTCTTCAGTTAACAGCTAATAGAGCATGTGATTTTTGTTACCTCATGCCTCTATTGTCAGTAATGATGTTAGGATCTGCCTTCTTATATCACTTGGTCTAATACCTGAGAGTACAGCTGTATGTGTGTGTGGAAGTTGTGCATCCCATTATGAGTCTCAGCCTACTGTTAAGTACAGTGTCAAACTTTCGTGACAACTTCTGGACCATGCAAGAGCACAACATTCTGCTGGGGTATATACCATTACAAGCACAGTGGTTCTGAGCACTTTGAAGTTGGCACCCCATGTCATGCTGGCTAAACGTCTTAGAGCAGCTATCCATGCACAGACTTTACTGATGACCTTCTTAATGGTGACATTTACAGGTGAGGAAATGGTAAGACAACTCCTAAGGGTAGGGTATGTCATGGGGAAAGATGTGGTTGCCTATTCTGATATTCAGCATGCTCTTGGCTCAATGATTGTCCAGGTAGAAGTGTGATGATACCAATTTATTGATGCTCAACTTCAAGCACCACTTGGAGATAGTCAGCAATAGGCTTCATTTCAGAACTCAGTATCTTTTCAAGTTCTGTCATGTCAATTCCTTGGGCTACTATAATGACATTATCAGTGTATATGTATCGCTTAGATCAAAGTTTGTCAACCCCAGGGGTACTTAGGAAGGCCCTAGGGGGTATACATGGGTGGGCAGAGATGGAGCGCCTCTACTCACCACCCCGCACCGCAACCTCCAAGGAGTAGGGGTAGGGCAGGGTGGGCGAGGGCACCGGCAGCCCTCTGTGGGCTGCAGAGGCACTGCCTGGGCAGCCGGACATGGCGGGGAAAGCTTGCATGCTACTATCCCACCACCCCACGTTGCCTCCGCTCTGCATCTGGCTGCATGCCACCACCCCTCCCCCCCACCCCAAGTCCACATCAAGCCACATGCCACACCACCACCCCTGCTCCGTGTCTAGCCACTGAGAGGACACTTATTAAAAAGGTTGAAAACCCCTGGCTTAAATGTTGTAGGCATAGGGTTGCCATAAGGAAATCCTTACGGTCACATCTGGGACATTGCCCCCTCCCCCCAGTGCCAGCAGCACACTGCCACAGACAATGACAGAGGCCAGTGGGCAGGGGTGCAGGAGCAGCACAGTGGACAGGTAGAGCTGCCTGGAGCACTATGCTGCTTTGCCTTCCCATCAGACTACACCTCACGCCCCTGCAATTCCAGGACTCTAGTTTTAATTTTCACCAACTGACCAGGACTGGCCTTCAAAATACAGGACTGTCCTGGCTAAAGCAAGATGTATGGTCACCCTATGCATGCTAAAAGTCTGAGAAATCCTGGTGCGAGCACTGACCTTGGGGGAATTCCATTCTTCAGAGCTCACACACTGCTTCTTTCTCCTTGGCTAATAGTGAGTTTGAATGATCTGCTGGAGATCACATTCCTGGCAAAAGCACATAGCATGCAGTCAAGTACCACAGAATGCAGTTTGTATTTAAAGCCTTGGTGCCATGTAGTAGCATCGGCAGCTCTATACTGATGAAAACTGGCTGTTTTCTGCCTCATTTCAAATCTGTTTTCAACAGTAGATGTAAGGTTAAACTAGTTTAAAGCCTCAGATTATACCTCTGCCTGTCTGGGCATGGAGGTGTTAAACAAAAACACACTAAGAAATAGCAATGCCTGGGGGGTGGGGGGGGGGGGGCTTTCAACAGCTGTTTCTCATCCAGTTTAACCATTCCCCACAAATGCTCTAAATAGCTCAGTGCACTAGAACAGTGCTACAAGCAGACTGACACAAACTGGGGGGGGAAATTCAAATAGTTGTAATAAGCTGGCTAGTCTCTTTCCATTGCCATGGGGGTGAAATACAGAAAGTTCACAAGCTATTTGAACAGCGAACCAGAAACTGTTAAAATTTATATTTGTTTTACATACAGTACTCTATGTAGTTATTTTTTAAATCTAACAGTCCCTTTATGCTACTTTTGACTGCACCTCAGTATTACATATAGACGGGGCAGATACAGGCCTTCCCATTCTCCCCCAGGCACAAGCCCCTCCTTTCTCCTCTCAGGTGTGCCCTTTGGCAGCTGATTGGTTGTACAGCTTTTCCAAAAGTAGCATCCTCAGCTGCCAGTCACCAAGTGGCAAGCTGCCAGCACAAGAGCTTCAGAGTATAGCTAACTTTGGAAACTACTGTAAAAGGTCCCTCCATTGCACGGTTCAGGACACTTGTTTTATCTGGTTTTGCAAGAACAATTTCCAATTTCAAATGGTCTACTGTTTTAATAGCAGGTTTCAACCCTGTTACATTCACCAAAACATCAACAGGGCAGAAAGGAGATGTCAGATAAGTGGCCAGGGACAGAATGCGGACTGTCTTGGCTCCTGGCCCTACATTTAAACCCCAGGAATTTAACAATTAGATCCTGATGCACATCATCTTCCCAACTTGGCCTTTCTTACCCCTCTTCACAGTATCTCTTATTTAGATGTTATATCCTGCCACATCTAAAAAGGCTCAGGATAGCTTACAATGACAGAAAAACAACACACAGATAAGGAACAGGCTCCCCAAACAGCACCATAAAACTGTAAAAATCCCTTTCCTACACTCCCTCACTTCCATGTCCCTGCCTATTTCACCCTAGCATATCCCAGCCCCCATTCACACTGAGATCTATAAAGGGTAATTTAGCTCTCTGGCCAGAATCTCCATATTTGAACAAGGAAATATTTCAGCCCCCTGGAATCTTTTTAGAAGTAATCTAAACTTGGAGGAGGGAGAGCTCAAGCAACCAGGTTAACTTGTCAATGCGTGTTTTCAGTAGGAATAAATTGTGTCTCATTGTGTCAGAAAATTGCTGCTGCTGGAAAAGACATGCTTAGTTGCCCCCACATGAGAGAAAGCTGAAGTCAATGGATGGAAGAAGCCAGTAAAGTGAAGGATGACGTCAAGGAAACTTGCCTTGAGTCGAGTCTTAGAATCGGAGTGACCTTACCCTTGCATGAGAGGACCTGGCTCAGCTGACCCATTAAAAAGGTGCAAGAATAGGATTTTCAAAATCAAGGCCAAACGCCACTTACATTGACATTGATAGCAACAGGTAGAGATGGGAATGACTAAAATGTTTGGTTCAGTTTTTCACAACCAAACACTTGGATTTTTCCAATTTTCATTTTCTAGACTTGGAGAAGTGAATGTGCTCCAAAGCAAGTGTTTTATCTGGAAAAAAGGACCTGATCTAGTAACTGGCTTCATGGGGACAGAATTAGGTCAGCACTGAAATCTCACCCTGTCAATGGCTTTCTGACAAAAAGCCTAACATAACGTAGAGGTGCACTGATACATCGGTCTGATATTGGATCAGCACTAATATAGAGAAAATTGGTCATATCAGAAAAATCGGCCTGATGTGGCCAATAGTTCGGCTGATAAATGCCTGTGCATGCATGCATGCAGCCGCAGCGCAGTGCGTAGGCAGCAAGGAGCACAGCCCAGCAGCTTGGAGAACTGCATGCAGCTGGTATGTCTGGTGTGGTGGAACGGGAGTGGGGAGGGAAGGAGTGTGGGTGGACAGATCAAGGCCCCCACAGTGAGGGAGGAGTGGGGCTGGGGGACTTGCTGCCCAGCCAGGGCAGGGCCAGCATGGCTCATCCGGGGCAGGGCGGCTCCCACCGCTGCATGCTGTTCATCCAGGAGCTGCTGGTCCAGCAGTTCCCACCACTTGTCCAGGAGGGCATGGGGCAGGGCGTGCCCCCAGATCTGTGCGGGGCAGGGTTGCACAGGGCTCTTCCCAGCCCGCCCTGCCCTGTGCATATGCGGGGGCACATGCCCCCCCGCCGCTCCCAATGCCCTTTTGGATGAGCGGCAGGGACAGCAGCAGGAGCCACTGGACAAGCAGGTGAGCACCAGACCAGGGACTCCTGAACAAGCAGTGCGCAGTAACAGGAGCCACAGTCCCCACCACCCCCGACCCCCAAGATGAGCCATGGCTCCATCCTGTGCCCGCCCCGCCCCAGCTGGGCAGTGCTTGCCCCAGCCCCTGCCCCACTCCTCCCTCACTGCAGGAACCTTGATCTTCCCCCCGCCATGCCCCTTCCACCACAACAAACTTACCAGCTGCATGCAGCTCTCCAAGCTGGTATTGGAAATCAGATCGATATTGGCCAATATATCTCCTTAAAAATTGGCTATCTGTATCGGCCCCAAAAATCTCTATCAGTGCACCCCTAACATAATTTTCCAGATATAGCAACCCAATGAGGCAACCCACACACAAACACCCCACTGTGGCTGGAATTCACTGGAATGCTCTTCCATTCAATTTAGGAGCAGGACCAATTAATACCTAAAGGGAATCTCATACCTATAAGGAATGGCAGCCACAGCATGGAGCTTGAAGAGCAAGCCAATATAACGCAGGCAAAGGGGAATGCTGAGGGAAGAGGAAAATGCAAAAAGGAACCTCATTTCAAAACTAGCAGAAGACTTCTTAGGTAAAGTTAGACTCCCTGCTTTTCCTAATTTCTAATGAAGTCTAGAGAGACTCTATGGTAGTGAGGAATAGGGGCAGTAGGGGAAGTGGAGGAAAAATAGGGTATTTTTTCCCAGAAAGTTCATTCTCAGTATGATTGGACCCACCTTATTTTCTAAAGGATATGCACGGGCTCAGCAATTGAGTTAATGGATTGAATTACTGCTTTCAACTTAATCATGAATATCTCTAGCTCCTCCTCTCAGACCACTCTTTAAATTTATTTTGTGGTCTCTTTCACTCATGGACATTCCTACCAGGAGCTCAGAAAGGCATTACTGATACACCACAGTGCTATGAGGGATACAAATTTCTAGGTGGGATTCTCTCAGGCACTTGGGCAGAAGTCCCAGTGGTCATCTTCTTGGGCAACCTTGGACAGGACACAACTTTAGTTCCCCAACACTGATATGCTGATAATTCATGCCCAACTTACACAGATGTCAAAAGGCTTGAAGTTTATACCCTATAGAAGGAATCACTGTTTGAAAGCCAAAACTGAAAAAGGTATTATTTGTCTATGCTCTAATTTTTATCCTACTTACATTTTAGATCTCTCTGTTAGAAGTAACTGCTCAGTCTACAGTACTAGAAGCCACCTTTGAAAAAGGTTCACAATCTTTTTTTTCCTATGGAACAAGACACGTTTTAGAGCTTTTATTAATGGAAGTGTACAAAAAAAACCCACTTGCGTGAAACCTAGGAGAGTTAGGCTTCATGCAAACATTCAAGATTAGAATGGGAAGGCAAAGGTTAAAACAAGGATTACAGAAAAATGCTGTTTCTCCACAAAATGAAAAGGAACTAAGCAGATGGAGTGCTGCCACCTTTTGGCTGTATAGCCTCATCACAGCTGTCAGGAAGAATATACAGTATAATCATGCAAATAAGAGATACAGCTGAAGTGTTGCATTGTAGCTAGTTTAATTGAAAACAAAACTGTGTCTCGTTGAAAGAAACTTAATTCAGAGCTTCCTGTTGACAGTAATCAACACTAGCACTTTTTGTAACCCTGTACTTCAGAACAGGAGAGAAACAAAACTACTGTTTGGGGTAAATAAAGCAGAAAGGCTGCTGTGGCAACACCAGCTACTGTATCCAGACATAACCCATTCAAGTTAATAAATATGTTACACATTGCTAGAGGCTCAGAAAAGGTATCACAACTTACTGATTCCATGCCATTTTTCTTCCCCACTTTAAAGTCAGAAAAAAACCCTAAAGCCAGTTCTGAAATCAACCTGGATAACATACTGCCCTTCCAGTGCAAGAGCCAACTTTAAATAGCATTCTTTCTGCCATCAGCAGAAGCTCGGAGCAGAAGCTTCCAAGAGGAAAAGGGATTGTGAGCATCAGGTCACTCAGGCCTGCTGGCTAAAGTGGAAGCAGTGCTAGCAGCAATCTGCAGGGAGGTCAGCTGAGCCTTCCCGAATGAAATCTGGACTCCCAGCTGTCCAGGGTGAGATCTGGCATCACTGAGAAATGGGGCCCATGTCCAAGATGATAGAAATATGCAAGGCAGAGCTTAGGTCAAATAAAGCCCTCAAGAACAGGCAGGATCAATCCAATTGAGATGAGCTGCAGGGCAGAACCTGGTATTGAAGAAAGTCAGTTAAAATACACTGGCAACATGCATCAGGTGTGGTATTTCTGTATCACCTATGATAGATACCAGGTGAGTAGTCCTAATTGATACAACAGAATAATTCACTCCCTCATGTACTCTCTCAGCAAGAGTCTATGCTCAGTCTAGAAGGATAGTCTTCTATCCTTTTACAGAGAGGGCCCAAAAAGCCTTCATTGCAAACACAAAGCTTGCTCCTTTTCAGAGCAACACATGATAAATTAATGGGGATGGAGGTACAAGAACTCTACCCTGTGTGGTAGGTGAGAGGGGTGGCTGGAGATGCAGGACTCCCAGAGCTTACACCTGACCCTGGGGCAAGTACCCTCCTGGACTTTGCACCTCAGTTCCCCCTCTGTAAAATGGGTGATGAGTGCAATTCCCCACCTCCTAAGGGAAGAAAGGAGAGGGCGGGGGAAGAACTCATGCATTGGTAAAATAGTGCAGATGTTTTCCTACAGCTCCAAATAAAAAGTGTAAGCCATGAACTGGAATCATGACAAAAGCTTCCCCATTTGTAGATCAGTACCTAATCATTCAGGCCAGGGGGAAACCAAGAGACAACCAGATGATGCTAGCCACAATTATTTCAGTGTGCCATGCTAGCCCAATGGGCTACCAGGCCAGGGGGAACCATGGACCTTGAGGAGGTGTGGGGGGGCAGGAAAGGGAGTTTGCAAAGATACCGTGAGGCACGTTCTTACCCGACCCTGCTTCCTGTAAGTCAATAGATTTTAGTCAGTTACTCCAAACCATTTAGAAAATGCAAAGGATGCACCTTAAGAACAAGAGGTTTCATTGTTTTCAATGTTACTGCATAGGGAAAAGCTGAGATGGCAGAGCCCAAGCAACCCTGAAATAGTGCAGGCTGTTTGTCTCTGAATATCATATAACATACTGGAAATAACATGGACTCCATTTTTCAGCTTCTGTGAAGTTGCTGGTATATACCAGCCCAGGATGTAAGCAACATACTAGCTCAAGTACTGTGCAAGCTACTGTACAAAGACTGAGGAAGCCAACAGCTGGAGGGTATTGCCAAGATTATCACAAAAAAGCTGATGTGGCAGAACTCCCTTTAAGGATCACTCATCTTTCCCAGGGACTGCATGAAACTTGTGAGGCTCATCAGTCCTCCTTCCTGTGCAGATGACATCTTTTAGTGGCATGAATCTATGAATCTGACCAGCACTGAATAAACCTAGTAGAAGAGCATCAAAGAACAGAAAGAGCACAACATAGGAGTGAGTGGACATGTCTACACGAGACACTTAATGCACAAAAGGCCAGTTCTACTGTGCATTGCGCAGCAGACAAAACCATGCCAAAGTGCTGATGTGCAGTAGATTTAATCTAATGTGCATTAAGGTCACTAAAAAAGCATTCATCTCTGCTAATGCACAGTAGTGCCAATTACAGTGCACTAATGAACATACAGATGCACCCAGATTTTACAGAAGACCAGCATGAATCAGTTGGATTTAATACAATGTTTTCATTTACTTATTTCATTAGCTATATGGAAACCTTAATCATTAAATGATTTAAGTGAGGATTAGACAAACATTTGGGATGGTTTGGATAGGAACGATCTTGCCTTGAACAAGGGACTGGACTAGATGAACTCCTGGGGTCCTTTTATGTCAACCTTATAAAAGGCACACAACAAGTGAGAACCACCAAAGAATCCAACACAAGAGGTGTTTCTCCAGGACGCAAATAGCCACACATCATGCTCGGTTTCTCTCTCTCTTTTAAAAAGAAGTCACATGCATCAGATAAATGGTACAATATTATTCACACCCCCATCAGCTTTCAAAAAATATTCCCCTCGTGCCAAGGAGATTCCTTTTCAGATTTGGATACCACTAATTTTCTGGGTTTTTCTCCTCTTGTCATATAATTATGGATAATTAAGTCCACTAAAAAAAACTGCTCATTAATTTAGGTTGTATTTTCTCTGAGTCTCAAAGCTTCTTTGCCCTGCATGGAACACACTTCTTAGAAATAGTCTTCATCAATTGGTCAAATGACAATTTCCTTAATACCCATTCATTCTACAAGTATTCCTCACTTAATGTCATCCGGTTAACGATGTTTCGTTATTATGTCACTGATCTATTAGAGAACATATTCATTTAAAATCACGCAATGTTTAATTATAACATTGTTTGGCCGCCACCTGCTAGTAGGTAACTACTGTGACAACTGGATTCACTTAACGTTATTCGGCTTAAAGTTGCATTTTTCAAAAACGTTACTACGACGTTAAGTGAGGAGTAGCTGTATTTAATTGTTGTATTGCTTGTTAATTTACATTGTGGTCTTGCAATTTGGTTATTGGGACCTAAAAGTAAGTGTGCACACAACAAAACTATGGGGTGTGCTTAATTAACAGGGCAACCCTGAACAGAATACAAAGCATGGTCAAAGGTTGATTGTTTGAATTTTCTTCTTATAATGGATGACTGTTATAATGCTGCACTTCCTTGGTTGATCTTATGTTAAATGTTACCATGCTACGCTTGAAGTAGTTTTAGCATTACTGAGCCAAAGATAGAAAATAAATAAATAAATAAAAGGTTTCATCTACACTGAAGTCACATTATCACTACAATGAAGTGTTTTGCTCCAGAGTTGATTATAGGGAGCAGATAGTCTTTAAGAAAATGTTATATTTCCTAACATTTTTTGAGCAAATGTTCATATAGTCAGTGGGTTAACAAACAATGAAAAGGTAAATGCAGCAGAAGCTAAATATTGTAAGTTACAAATTATAATGCATGAGCTTTTTATAAAATCATATCATCTCTTTGGCATATCTTCTCTCAAATATTTGACTCCTTGATTTCAATAAGTCATTTCATTTTACTTAATTCCCTGTATTCCAATCAACCATTTTTACAGCGGGTATGTCTTTTCATTGCCAGAGAAAGAAAAGTTTTGCTCCTTATCTTCACATAGAACAATACCTTCCTGCACACTTGGATCCTGTGAAGTCACGTGATTTAGGATACCACAACCTAGGCCCCTATTCATCAAAACACAAGTTCGAAGCATGTCAAGTCCCATTTTAGGTTTCAAGCATTTGCTCTAGTGCTTTGCTGAATTGTGGCCATGGCCAACAGTGACTGAATACATTTCCTGGTTGCAATCTCAAGCAGTTCAAAGAGTTCTTCATCTTTATGACCACAGTCTATTGCAATATGTAATTGTAAATTTCTGAGGGGGAATACAAATATTTCTCAAAATAAAATGCACCTTTTTGGGCCCAGATTTTTTGTACATCAAGAATCAGTGGGTTTTTAATAAGAATTAGCTATCAAGTTTTTGGTTTTTTTTAAATGTTACAAGATTTACCCATATCCAAGGCAACTTTGAATTAAGACAAACACCCAATAAGTAGATTGTCACATGCTCCCCCGTGCTACTTGCCCCCTGCCCCTCTGTGCCTGTCCCCTGCTGCCTCCCCCAGTCCCGTGTCCTTAGAGAGACACCACCACCCGCGCTTGGTGCCAGGCAGGCAGGGGGCATGCCGCTTTGGTGGCATGGGACTCCTGGGGAAAGGGCAACAGGGTGGGGAACCCCAAGGACACAGCAGGCAGCCTGCATCCACACACCCCACGCACAAATCTGGGGGGGGGAGGGGGGGGATCATGTACCCCCATACCCATGCAAAGGTGCACACAGTAGAGGGGAGGTGCCCCCTCCACATGCCCCGTACCCCCTGGACAAGCTGCCCATGGCTGTTCCGCTTCTCACCCTGGCACCCCATGCACTGCCCTAGCTGGGCAGTGCCTCCCACCCCACCCCCTTCCGCAGTCCCTTTCTCACCATGAGGGCCACGATCTGCCCCCCTCCCCACTTATACCCTCCCTTCCCTGCAAGGAGCTGGTCTCCACGCTGCCTGGCTCTTTCCTGGACACATGCATGTGTGCGGGCATGCACATGCACACAGGGCCCCCACTTCCCACTCCCAGCAGCCCCAAGCAGCCCCTTGTAGGCTGAAACATTGCCCGCCTGGAAGGGGAAACCCAGATCCCTGCACAATGCTGTGAATCTGGGACAAATGCTGTCCCAGGAGGGAGGGACCAAAGCCAGAGAAAGAAAGTAAGGGAGTTAGGGCTGAAAGGCGAGCACAGGCACAGGTGTCTCCCTGCCCCCCCCCCCACCAACAGCAGCAGCTCAGCTCTGGCTTCATCTGTGAGCCTAGGGCCAAAGTTGGAGATGAGCCACCACTTGCTCAGGCTAGTACTCAAATCTAAGATGAGGCTCCCCACATCACCACCACCCCTCCAATGCTGATGGGGGAGGGGGACTCTCTCTTCATTTCAAGTAAATATGGTATTTTTGGTGTGTAAATAAGTCTCTATAAAATTAATAGAAACAACTGAAGTGCACAGAACTTTTTTTTTTTTAAATCAACTATTTTAACAGCTTTTTATGCAACTTAAGAACTGTCAAATCAATAGGCAGGTCTATAACGGGCCTAGTTCTGACTCTTACACTTTCTATAGTTATTTAGCCCTCTGCCAAGTAGAAATATGCAATTACCCAAATGGATTTGGTAGCATTTAAGAAAAAAAAAATTAAAAAACCATACTTAATGCTCACTGGCCCTG